GCGCTGATGTTAAGAGCTGATGCAAAGGAGACCATTTAGGGAGGGGCAGCAGGCTTGGGGCAAAGGTGGGTCACTCTTTCTCTATAATGAAATCAGTGCCTTTCTCTCGGCTTGATTTTAGATGCCATCGTCCTCAATCTGACCAACCAAAATGTGGAGTTACTAGACAGAGAGCAGCTGACCACCCGTGAGTACCGAGCCCGGTTTCTGCCCGGCGTGGTGGTGCATTCTCAGAGAAAGAGAGGCTCGTGCTGGCTGCTCCAAGCTTCACGTTAGCCCCACAATTGAAAATCTTAGCACCCCACTATTGTCTCCAATGCTCCCTAGACCCTGGACTATCTCCAGGGCATAAAGCGAGCCCCAGCTCCCCCCTTATGGGCATCACACCCAACAGACCGCAGTTTTCCATTTGTCTGCTGACCACAAGGTCGGGATCTTCTCTCACATCATTTCACTGTTAAAACAGATTCTCAACTTGTGGCTCCAAATCCTGCCTTTTAGGGTAAAATGTGAGCGTGGGAGCCCGAGCCCACCCAGGGCCGCCCTCAGTGGGGAGGCCACAGCGCCGCACACCTTGGGCCTCGGCTCTCCTCCCTCACGGGACTTCGCTGTTCTCTCCACTTCAGGGCTCCAGGAGCTTCGGCAAGACCCCTGTATCAGTGTGCAGAGAGCGGCCGAGGCTGCCTTGCAGACCCTCCTGCGAAGGTGTAAAGAGATAAGCGCCCCTCCGTGACCCACCTGGAAATAAACTGCTGGGCTGTTTCCATAACCGACTGCTGTCTCCGTCCCCGTACTTCACAACCTGCAGCGTCCTAGGACAGACACGGGCCTGGGGTGGCACCTGGAGGTGGTGGTGTGCTCCTCGCCCGCCAGGGTCCCCCGGTGGCTCCCCCGAGGGAAGAGTCAGCCCCACAGAGTCACTTGCGTGGCAGCCTCCGCACGGCTTTGCCACAGGTTAGCCCTCTTGGGAAGCTCAGACCCAGCAGACACCAGACAAGGACAGAACTGGAAATAGGCCGGCTGCCGTTAAGAAGAGGCCCATGCTGTCTGCCACACACAACCCCTTCTTGCCCGCTTTAGCCAGCTTCGAATCACTGCCCACACTCTCCCCTTTCTAACAAGCGATCAGTCGGTAAACTCTGACCTGTCTGTTCTTTGTCCGGTTGTAATTTATGTGCCAGGACGATGCCAGGTACTTCTCTACCAAAGTCCCTTTCTGACGTTCTGTTAAATCTCATGATCTCCTCTCCATTTTTTAAAACTTGTCTTTATTGTTGGAAGTATTACAGATGTCCCCTTTTTTCCCCATTGACCCCTTCTACCCCGTACCTGCCTCCCCCCCACCCCAGGCCTTCCCCAGACTATTGTCTGTGTCCATGGGTTATGCTTATATGCATATAAATTCTTTGGTTAATCTCTTCCCGCACCCCCCTTCCTTCTGAGATCCATGCTTCTATGTCACTGAATCTATTTTATTCATCAATTTATTATGTTCTTTAGACCCCACATGTAAGTGAGATCATGTGATGTTTGTCTTTCTCTGCCTGGCTTATTTCACTCAGCATAATATTCTCCAGGTCCCTCCATGCTGTCCCAAAGTCCTCTCCATTTTTATCCCAGAGCACGCCTCCCTTCGAAATGTGTGAGTGTGCATGCATGCGTGTGTGCATATGTGCTTGCGTGCGTGTATGTGTTAACCTTCTGTGGTATCTGAATCATAACTTTTTATTCTTTCCACAGTGCGTACCTGAGAGGTTACATACATGAAATTATGTTCATGAAGAGAAGTTTCTAACATAAAGCCCACGTTCATTTAACACCACCACCTAACACCACCACCGCCAAGATTAATTATTAGCAAGATTAGTCAACTGATGTACCCCTTTACAAATCCCTGTTACTTGCATTCTAANATTCATTTAACACCACCACCGCCAAGATTAATTATTAGCAACATTAGTCAACTGATGTACCCCTTTACAAATCCCTGTTACTTGCATTCTAATCTCTTCATCCTCAGACTCTGAGGAAGCATCTTTTGTTCCTATAAAACTTTCTAAAGACCAAAGGAATCTTTTAAGCCAGAGATTTTAGGCCAGAGTTCATGTATTCAATCGTTTAGCCAATATTTATTGAGTGCCTACAATTTGTAAGGCACGGTTTTAGCCACTGGGGCTACAACTATGAGGAAAACATACTTAAAAATGCTACCCTCATGGAGCTTATTCTATGAAATCTGTGTATGAATTCTAGGGTCTGGAGCCACCTCCAAGGAGGCCTCCAGTGATTCCTGCCTCCTGGGATTTGTGTAGTCTCCTCCCACAATGAGGAGAAAAATAGAAATGACCTACACAAGCAATACGATGTTTCAGAAATGGCAAAGTGTGACTTCCGAGGCAAGGTCATGGATGGCGTTACAGTCTCTTGAGTCAGTCACTCCCTCTGGGGGAAGCCAGCTGCCATGTCACGAGGACCCTCAAGCAGCCCAAAAAGAGTTCAGAGCAAAGAACTGGTGCCTCCTGCAAACAACCAGGGTTAGCTTCCTGGACGCTTTAATGCTCCATCTTGGAAATAAATCCATGAGCCCCAGTGAACGTCTTCAGATGATTGAAGCCTCAGCTGACACATGGATTCCAGGATTATGAGATAAAATACAGAATGCCCAACTAAATCTGAATTTCAGGAAAACATTTTTTAAATAAAAGCATGTCCTGATTATTGCATGGGACACGCGTAAAGAATTACTTATTGTTTATCTAAAACTCAAATTGTATTTTATTGGCTAAATCTGACAACCCTCCTGCAATCTAATGAGAGTCCTGAGCCAGAATCACCAAGTTAAACTCCTGAATTCCTGAACCACAAAATTGTGTGAGACAGTAAATCTTTGCTGTTTTAAGCCACTGAGTTTCTAGGTAATTTGCTGTGCACCAGCGGACAACTATTACACAGAGGATTCATGATCCTACTGAAGGTGTATGCATATGTCTGCGCATAATTGCATAGGTGCATTTTCTGGGTAATTGCTTTCATTAAATTCTTCATGGAGCGAGAAGTTATTCCGCAGCCTAACATGTGAAACAGAGCAAGAAAAGAAGGCGAGATATATGAGTTTAGTCGACCCCTTTTGGCAGGTTATTTTAAGTCAAGTGACTTTGTAAAATAGCTCTGTCCAGAACTTTCTGCGATGATGGGAATGTTCTGTGTCTACACTGACCAATACGGCAGCCCCGAGCCACATGTGGCAACTGAGCACTTGAAATGTGGTTTTTCTATCTGAGGAATTACATTTCCCTTTTTAAGTTTAATTACATGTAAGTGGTTATATGTAACTAGTAGCTACAATATGGCACAAGACAGTTTCAGAACGTGGGGCAGGGTTGTAGTAGAATTTGGGCTGAGCCACCCGAGAACCACGGGACACTCTGAACAGATGAATAAATTCACTGACATGGGGCCTTACTGGTCTTCTTTGTAAATCCCCATGATTCCTCTCCACCCCTCTTAGAGCCCAGCAAAGCCTTGCTCACCCTCGATTGCTGGGAGTTAGGTGGGACGGCCACATGAAATACATTGCCACTGACTCTTTGTCCGTCTAAACCCTAATCTTAGGAAAATTCACCCTGACAAGAATTTCCAAGACTTTTTTTTAATCACATCCCGGATCCGCCTCCTATAGCCGCGTTACTTGGGGAAATCATATGACCTCTCTGTACTTCAATTTCAACATCTGTAAAATCAGGGCAATAATTATGTCCAAGTGCTGTTGTGAGGATTAAACGCATTAACGTACACGCAGCGCATTTAGAAACATGGCNGGGGCAGTAATTATTTATGTCCAAGTGCTGCTGTGAGGATTAAACGCATTAACGTACACGCAGCGCATTTAGAAACATGGCCCAGCGTCATTGTTAAGTACAGGTTAAATATACAACGTGAATATTAACCATATTAACGAATGTATCGTTACAATCACAGATATCACCTAAGCTCAGTGATTGGTATCTAAAGACAGCTGGTTAGCCGACCCCCATGTGGCCATGCTCCTGGCCTGGGGAGGCGGGCGATGAGGCGGCCCCTCCGCTCAATCCCAGCTCCGCAGCGGGCACCCCGAAGCCCGCTGAAGCCTCCTCAGTGGCTCTCCTGTCATACAGAGAAGCCGCAGCCGGGCTGTGCGACACGGGGAGTTGGGATCTCTCTGCTCCCCCAGCAATTATGTCTCTTAATCCCAATGACGACTATTCGCTCTAGGGCGTTGCCACCAGCCCTCCCCGCCGCCTGTCTTCCCTGTCGGTCGGTCCTCCATCGGCCTCTGCAGCTCGTCTTCGGGGCTCAAACACAGGCATATGCCCCCGACGAGAGAGGCCCCCCGAGGGTCTCGGGGAGACAGTGACGGAGCAGGCACAGGCACAGGCCCCGGCACCGCTGAAGAACGGCCCGTCCGCTCAGCCTCGCCCCTGCAGCTTGCTGGCCGTTGTTGGCTCTCGTGATAATTCTCCAGCTCGTGTTGACTTGAGGCCGGAGAGCCTGGGATGTCCCCGGGCTGCCCGAGGGGCTGGCTCTGCTCCGCGGGCTCCGGCCACGCTGTTTCCAACCCAGCGCTCTGCCCTTTACCCCAGCCCGGGGCCGGCGCCCTGCTGGTAGGTCAGGGCCTTGGGCCTGGCTGACCCTGCTAAGGGGGCAGTTTCCCCAGAAAAGGGGAGAGCAGAGATCACGGGGGGGGGGCTCCCAGAGGAAGGAGCCAGGGCAACCGCTCAACTGGAATGGGCCCTGCGTGAGGTCGTTTTAAAGGGTAACACACTGGCGCAGCCACTTCTGAAGCCCTGCAGGCTCTGAGATTGCAGCGAAGACCTTCTCACAGTGCTCTGTTTTGACTTGGCGTAGTCGTCAGTCCCACAGCATCCCTCGGATTCCTAAGCACAGAAAGGACAGCCCACGGTCAGTGAGACACGGCAGCAGCTGCGAGCCAGCCGGGCGCGTTGGCCTGGGTCCCTGACAGCGATTTTNTAGCAGCTGCGAGCCAGCCGGGCGCATTGGCCTGGGTCCCTGACGAGTGATTTTATACAGCAGCTGGGGAGGATCATCTCTTGCAGTTTCTCTTTTTTACTCATTTATTGCAGGTATCCTTAAACTGGGACAGTGCAAAACATGGAGGGAGTCGGGAGCAGCATGAGGAAAGGATAGTGGGTTTTATTGCAAATGTGTGTGTGTGTGTGTGTGTGTGTGTGTGTATAAAATGACCAAGTTGTGACCTGAGAANGCATGAGGAAAGGATAGTGGGTTTTATTGCAAAAGTGTGTGCGTGTGTGTGTGTGTGTGTGTGTGTGTGTATAAAATGACCAAGTTGTGACCTGAGAAGTGACATTTGCTTCTTACCTCTACTTTGTCAAACTATTTATCCAACAAAACTTTTCTGTGCTCCTTTTGGACAAATTGTCCTGGATTTTATTTATTGAGTTACGTGGTTATCCTGAAAGAAAGGTACATTTGGAAACACAATTTTATAAATATCCCTGACTCATAGCTTCTTTTTCCACGGGAGAGCCACCAGAAAACACTAGATAAGAGATCCTTCCTTCTGCATTACCTACCACCTGTCCAAATATTCTGAGGTAAATCCTGACGATTAAGTTGACCGATGCTCTAACACCCTCTTAACTGCACAGGGGTCAAAAAGAGGCTCTGTCTTCGAGATGGAGAGCCTGGAGAACAGTTAGGCAGGACTCGTTTACT